CCATGCATCCGTTTATACGATGGTACGATGATACGAAAGTGTTTCTATTGGTTGGAGATCTGTCAATTCGTACGACGGAGTACGAATTGACAGATCTCCAACCAATAGAAACACTTTCGTATCATCGTACCATCGTATAAACGGATGCATGGAACATGGGCTTTAGGCAACACAATTAATGTTAACTAAGACATTGGGCGGATAAACGTTTGGGAAGAGAGGCCGCCCAGGAATTAATTATCGCGCAAAATGTAATTAGGAAAAGGGCGCATGTTGAGCCGGGATGACAAAGCGGTTTTTAATTGAGACCCTAAATAAATGGATCAAGTGAAGACTTAATTTCCCCGTTCGGTTCTTTCTGAAGACTGGAAACTTATTGGCGATTACTGACCTCTGGCTGATTTAACTGGCTGTGGGACGCCCTGGGCCTCAAAGAACTCGGATAATCCGTAATCGGTCACTTTGAGCACCCATCGTGCATCAATCACGCAATTTCTCGACGTCAGAAATCCGTGCACTCGAATCGGGGTAGAGTGAAGGTACCGCATTCCCTAAAAACACAAGAAAAACCATCGATTTCACTGCGTTTTCTTCGCCTGAACATAAACTACTCATTTGCTTAACAAATTGCTGGGTCCGCCACTTAATGCTTTTATGTAAAACCGTGTCGGCTGTACGCCTAACGCGACCATCACACCATGAAGGATGTTTTTAACATGGAAATAGAATAGTTATTGAATATTTTTTTAAGCCGCATCAAAGTAGGTTTTCTTTTGAGATCCGTTTTCGGCTTAATTAGCAGAGTGAATTTTAACCACTTCGCTAAATCGCGAAAATCGATTTTAATGCGCAATTTAAGATTCTATAGCGCAATGGCAACTAGCGCTTTGCAGCTCAGCCGGTTCTCTAAACATGAGCCAAATACTAAGAGCGGTTTAAAAGACCCACTTGAGTTTTCGCATTTTGCGTGAAAACTAGAAACATTCCAAAAATCATGTAAGCCGTAAAAAGTGCGCAATTTAAGTTTCTATCGCCTAATGGCAACCAAAGCTTCGCAGCTCAACCGGTTGTCTAAACATGAGCCAAACACTAAGAGCGGTTTAAAAGTCCCACTTGAATTTTCGCATTTTGCGTGAAAACTAGAAACATTCCAAAAATCATATAAGCCGTAAAAAGTGCCCAATTTAAGTCTCTATCGCCTAATGGCAACTAAAGCTTGGCAGCTCAACCGGTTCTCTAAACATGAGCCAAACACTAAGAGCGGTTTAAAAGTTCCACTTGAATTTTCGCATTTTGCGTGGAAACTAGAAACAT